TTTGTCGCGGAATCGTAGGATTTGTCACCAAAAAGGTCGTTTGAGTAGTAAAGGCGGACCAGTCCCACGAGGACGATGGTGGACGCTGACGCTGACGCCTGACCCACGGAAAATGGTAATGGAGAGGCTCCGGACGGTGAGGGACGGACGGGGGATGAGGAGCAGCAGGAGGAGGAGGAGTAGTCTGCTGGGCCGCGTTGGTTGGGTTAGGTACCTTGACCTCTTGGTGCGGATGACGAGCAGCAAGACGGGGGTTGGAGGTACCTGTGCTTGCTTGGTGCTGCAGCGCTGTGCCGGGCTGAGGGCAACCAGGGCAAATGTATAGTTTTTTGTTGTGTGTGACGGATGTAGCGCGCCAATTGTGACGAGACGTAGGAGGAGACGAGGCGAGGCGGGTTGGGGTCGACGTACGTCAGGGAGAGACACGGGTGGGTTCAGAGAGGAGACGAAAAGGTAGGTAATCTGGTCTCTGTGTTGCCCAACGTGGATGTGGAGGTTGTGGACGGGCGCTGAACTCAATGTCGGAGGCGTGTCTTTGGGCGGTGGCAGAGGCGGACGACAGAGTCAGGGACAAGAGCAGAGCAAGACAAGGTCGACAGAGAGGATAGGCCGGAGAGGAAGATGTCGTTGAGGTGGTGGACGACGATAGAAACAACGGCGGCGGCAACGCTGGGCGACGAAGTAGCATCAGGGAGCCAACAGCGGGCGGCAGCAGTGATTCCTCCAGCAGACAGATGGCAGTCGAGGCTCTCCAGGGCGAAGGGCGACTGTGACACGACGAGGGACGACGACGGACGGGGCGAGAGAGGCTAAGGCAGTTAGGTTGGGGGCCTGCAATGCCTGGTGCCGGTGCGGTGGAGAGAGCGAGGGCAGGAGGTGACACCCCGACACACCCCTGGGCTTGCGCTGGAACTCGACGGGGCCTTGACTCAAAGGCAGGCGGCGTCTGGAGGGAGACTCGGGCTGTCGCGCGTTCGTGGAGAGTTGGAGATTTGGGGTCGTCGTTGCTTGTTGACTTGCTTGGCCCTTTGACAAGAAGCTGTTTGTTTCCCGCAGTCAGTCTTTGAGATGGCAAGTCGAGGGGAGACGACGCCAGCAACAGCAGCAGTAGCAGCAGCAGCAGCCAAAGGCGGAGTTGGGAACCGATCAGGTACCTTTTGGGCAACGTGAGGAGGCAGCACCTGTGACTCGACGTAGGGCGTGTCGTAAATAGGTGGGTAGGTAGTAGGTAGTCGCTGAATGACTGGTCGGTACAGTACTTGGGCGCAGGTATCGAGGAAGGTAATAGGTAATAAAGGGTCGTCGCGTGACCAACCTCCCGCTGCCAGTGCTTTTTGCTCTTCGCGGCTTCGCGATGTTGATCTTCAGACTGCAGACGGGAGTCCGAGCAAACAAGCTCAACGGAAGAGCAGCAGTCGCGACGATGTAAAGCAGACGAGGGCAGGCGCAATGCTGGAAATGCAACGATAATGGGGGTCTTTTTTGCTGTTTGGATTGTGATGGATGTCGAGGTACCGTCGATTCGCTGTCGTGGGAGTATTCGATGGTGGTACAAGTACAGACGAGGGGTGAAGGAGGTACTTGACTGTGTTGTACTTGGAGTCAAGAATGACGAAGTACATGCCGGGGAAGAGGATAGGGAAAGTATTGCTGCACATGTTTTTGGATAGAGGGTACTTGTGCTCGCTGCTTCCCGAATCAAAGACGGCGCTTAAGCAAGTACCTTCCTCAAGGCACTCGCTCTGCACCAATGACAGGAAGAAGCAGGCATTCTCTTACCAGCACCACTACTGTGACCACTGCAAATGTGCAGGTACCTCCCCTCGCCTGACAAGAAAAGGTACATGCTTCAAAGGCAGACAGCAGCCAGGCAGGGACGGTGTTAGAGGCCATAGACGAGACGAGGCTCCTTCAGTCGAAATCCAAGGGAACAGCCAGAGCAACGTCCCGACTGGACCAGACACAAGAGCCGAAACCAGGCGAGCGAGAGACGAGACGATTTCCCCGGCAGAGAGCGTGGGGCAGTTTTCAGCCTTGTTGAGATGTTCATGCACTGCGCTGGAGGTGATGGTCCTTTTCCCTATGCCTGTCCTGAGGTACCGACCGGGAGGTTGTCATCATAGAACCTGAGGCTGTTCAGTGGGGTCCTTGGCCTAGAGCCGCCGGCAACCGAAACTTGAGCCTCCTTTCAGCGGGCGACATGTACTTTTTTCCACTGTGCCGCCAAAAAGATACTTCACACAGCTACATCGAGTTGACAGCGAGACAACGTCACTTTCCTTCAATCTGCACCTCGACATTCCAGCCCAACTCCACCGCCAGAACGAGGCGTTGCTGTACCTGACGCTACCTCTCATCCGGGAAAGGCGATCACCTCTCTAGAATGTTTCGCGAGTCCCTTTCATCAAAGTTACGGGCTGTCCAATATTAGACGTCAGCATTCCACTTTGCAAGGCATGTGAAGTGTAAAAACTAATCGACATGAGATGCCAAGTTCGAAGGCGAGGCGGCTGAGGGCCAGTGATGACGATGCTGAAGATGTAATCGTCCAGCCTGCTTTGCTGCCACCTCACAAATGGCCTCATGAAAAGAAAGCAGAGAACATTTCCCGGCCCGTGTCTTACCATCACGACAGGGTCTACCCAGAGACAACACATTGTCCTCCCACGGAATACGGGCCAGTCGAACCTTGTTCGGATCGAGGGACCGTCTAATCATTTCCATCAGCAAAGGGAATGAGAAAAAAAGACAAAAGGCATGCTTCGCCCCTCGGAGACGAAGGGTGCATTTGATACCCGCTCTCCGTCCTCCGACTTGAAGGTGCTTGCTTGCCAAACGCTTGGACGCTTCTCCGTCAACTGCTTCAGGCCAGTCACACACAAACTCGCCTTCATTTGCCCACAGGCACAGACTCTTGGCGTCTTCCCATTGACAAGTCCGGTGACAATCTCATGATTTCCTTCCTGCCTTTGCCTTACGAGACCGTCGAGACGGGATGTCAGGGCCTCGGATGCTGACTACTATGCGGACCGCCCCAGGACGGGTTAGACAGGGCCAGCAGTTCTGTTTCGTTGTCCCCTTTTCCAAACCCGCATTTCGGGCAGTCCCTTTAGTTTCCTCTCGTATCATCGTTCTAGGGTTGGCCAATTTGCGGCCGATGATAGCTCGCCCTACACCTGATACCGAATCCTTTCCATTCATCCTGGGTCATCCATGCTCGACTACTCTTCACATCCAATGGCACTTTCAGGCGATTCTACAACGCTGGGCGAACTCATCAAACGCCATTTCGAACCGTGATTCATGATTCGACGGACGGCATATCCCGCCATGCCAGCTCAGTGTCGGAGGTCGGAGGTCGGAGCTTATGAACAGCGGTTCGCGTCTTCGGTGTGTCGACGAGTCGCAGCCTCTCCATCCTCGGCGGTGACCCTTGCTCGAATGTTAAAGCAGACGTCGTTTTTTTTCTTAAGCCCTCCCAGCTTGACGGGCAGGCTGCCCTCTCCCCTTACGTAGGTAGATGGTCAGTGAGCCTCCTCCCAGGCTTCCGAGGTCCAACGACACGAGATTACAGTACAGACCAGCCGATTGAGTTGGGCAAAAAGAGAAAAAAGCAAAGCAAAGCCTATGTTTAAGAATAGCACACAACCAGGCGCGGGGGTTAAACGTGTGCAGGGTCTGCGGGTGATGACAAGGTTGAGACCCGGCAACGACTGGTCTCACCTCGTTCGTCATTTGGGACGAGCAGCAGCAGACACAGCATCGTGAGCTCCCAGCATCGGTTGGCCAATATCGCGAAGGAGCTGTCGCAAGCATTAAGTATTCGCGTCCTGACTACGCAAGCACCTCGCTGCCGGGTCAGCCAACTGCAGGATCGATAAGGTGTATACAGCCCGATGTCAGCATGCAAGACCAGTCGTTGGACGCCCATCACTACAGTTGACAGTGGCTTCGAGGCGCAGCGTGATGGCATCAGGGATCCTGGACGCCATCACGCGTGGGCGCTTAGACGGTCACGAATAGTCCTGTCCAGTCGGCATCCTCTGTGGTAACTTTATCTCACCGGCCTAAGCATCACGGACATGCCTGCTCCTCTGTGCTCTCCTCGCCACAAACCGGTTTAAGCAGCTCATCTTCCAGCATCGATGACAACTATCGAGGCCGCTCCTCCCACTGGGCATGCATCGCACTAAAAAGCGCATGATGGACAACTGTTCCGCCCCTCAAATGCATCAAACGCAGCGAGACCGTTAGAGGGGCGCAGATGTCAAGACCGCAGCATCAGCATTGGTGTCGGCATCGAATCCTTGGATCCAACGTTAAGCAGTTCCTCCCGCTTTTCGCCCCAAGCACGGACCACAGTCGAGTGCATACCTGCTAGTCCCATGAGAAACCGCATCGAATGAGCAATGCAATTGAGGATGACAGTCTCATAAGCCGTTGCGGCTCTTCTGAATGGTCTCCTCGGTGAGCTCTAAATTGGGGGCTGTCCAAGGGATCTGAGATCGCATCGAGTACGTACCGCAGCACAGACCACTGCCCAGCGGAGATTCCCGTCCACGTGACGATTGAGACGTCATTCGGCAGCCCCGCGCCCCTCCGTGCAGCTGCCAATCGGCCCACTCCATTGGCTGACAGGCCCCGAAGCTCCAATTGGCAATTGCCATTTGCATGACCTGGACTAGCATCTGCCGATTACAAGCGTCACGATCAGACTTCCATCATCCTCCTACTCCTCCTGCCCCCCGACGCTGCGAGGTCACCAGTCTGTGCTGCGCAGGAACAACACGCTCAAAGATCCCACATGACTGGACCATGAATCGCCCTGCCCCGTCGGCACCGAAATCGATCTAACAGCACCCGTCTGCGCCGTCCCGCCCGCCCGAGCCTCCCGTCGACAGATCCATCCGAAGAACCTTCCTTGAGGCTGCCATCAGCCCACCCACCACCCACCTACGGCCATCCTCCTTCGGCGATACCCTCCCCAACAAGCGCCCCCAATGTTCCGCCCACGAGTGCTGCGGGCTCTGCCCAGGGGTCGTCTGCAGCCCGTCCGAACAGTAACACCCCGCCGCACCTTCATCCGCCAGCGGTCTTTCGTCCACCAGCCCACCGAAAAGTACAACATCAACCAGCTCAGCGAAGCCCGCACCAGCTACGATCGCGACCGCACATATTTCCTCGCCGCCGGCGCAATCGCAGGCATTATTTCCTTCGTCTACACGGCCAACAAGCTCCGCAAGGCGCTCGCCGCCGAGAAGAAGCGCAAGGCCGCAGGCGCAGGCGGCGACGGGAGCTCTGACGCCAGCGCCGACCAGCGCACCGGCTACCAGCTCGACTCGTCGGTGCCGAGCGAGACCTTCACAACCGAGGCAGGAAGCAAGCGCAAGGTCGTCATCCACGACGACGAGGGCAAGGAGCTCGTGCCCACCGGCAACAAGACCGTCCCCAGCTTCCCCCGCACTATCGAGCTCTCCTCCAAGCACTCCGCCTCCTCCCGCGACCCGGAAGCTGCCGCGCAGGCCCCGATCGCCGCCTCCGTCCAGGACAGCGACGGCGTCGAGTACACCCTCGTCGGCCTCGGCATCCGCACCGTCAGCTTCCTGAGCATTCAGGTCTACATGGTCGGGTACTACGTCGCCACGCAGGACGTCGCGAAGCTGCAGCACTACCTTACCAAGAAGATCAACCCGATCGCGACGACGCTGGTGCCCTCTGAGCGCGATACACTGAAGGAGAAGCTGCTGGACCCCGCGGAGGGGGAGGAGACATGGACGGCCCTGCTGCAGGAGGTCGGATGCCGCAGCGCGTTCCGCATCGTGCCTGTCCGCGACACCGATTTTCCCCATCTGCGCGATGGCTTCGTGAGGGCGATTACCCACAGGTCGGCGGCGGACAAGGAGGCATACGGTGATGAGGCTTTCGGCGAGGCGATGCGAGACTTCAAGAGGCTCTTCAGCCGCGGTAAGGTGCCCAAGTCCAAGGAGCTGCTGCTGTGCCGCGACGAGAAGGGCGCGCTTGAGGTCATCTACGACGACGGCAGGAGCTTCGGGCGCCAGAGCTGCGGCAAGGTGCAGGACGAGCGCGTGTCGAGGCTACTGTGGCTCAACTGGCTGGCTGGCAAGAAGGTGGCCTCGGAGCCGGCGCGGACAAGCATCATCGACGGCGTGATGGAGTTTGTCGAGAGACCTGTCGGCACCGTCGCCGCGCAGGTTGTGTAAAACATGTAAAAAGCGATGTAGCGATATAAAGATCTCGACTCGTAGACGACGCATATGAGCTGTGCAGTCACGGGAAAAGGCAAGACGCATATGTATACAATAGTTTATGATATTCTCTGAAGGTCTAGAAACACTAGGGCCCCCCCGTCTATCGTGACGGTCACTCCGCATGATTGGTATCTCTACAACTCGCCTCCCTCATCCACACTTCGTTACACAACTCTCGGGCATCTCAGCTATAGCCTGGACGTGGACGACCTTTTGTGCCATGCGCGCCCGTCAGCCTTCTGCCGGTGACTACTTCTATCGCATTCTCGCGCACAAGAAAGTTTTTTTGACGGGACGAGAAGAGAGTCTCCTTACGCCTTGAGAGCGTTGGCCTCCTTGAGCAGGTTCTCGAGCTTGTTGCCCTTGAGGAGGCCCTGGATGTCGGAGTTGCCGCCGACGTGCTTCTGGGCGATGTAGCTGTTGGGGACGGTGCGCTGGCCCGAGATCTGCTCGAGGACGTCCTGGATCTCGCCTCCGTCGGCTGGTGGTTTGTGTTAGTAAATTGGTTGTTTCGCGGGGACAGGGAGGATAGGGAATAGAAAGGGGGAGAGAAACATACGGAGGAGGTCCAGCTCGACAACCTTGTAGTCGGCGTTGAGCTCGTCGAGGGTGGACTTTGTCTGGCGGCAGTAGGGGCAGTAGGACTTTGAGAAGACGACGACCTTGTTCTCGTCGATGATGGACTGGACCTGCTGCTTTGTGACGGCCATGTTTGCTACGTTTGGGGTTGAGGAGAAGAGGCGGCGGAGGATGAAGGACATTTGGTGGTTGGTTTTGCGACGGGAAGGAGGGGGAGGGGTATTGGTGATGTTATAAATGTACGGATACGGGATGGGAAGAGCCGGGGCCGGTGGGTTTATTTGTCAGGCACCGGGGGCGGGAGGCGAGGTACTTGGAAGGGTGCGTGGGAAGGGTGGAGGGGGGATGTACACCGGGAAGGCGGGTTACAGGACAGTGAGAGGGAGACAGAGGCTACTGCAGAGTGAACAGGCGCTGGGGGAGTTTTGCGAGGTCGGGGTGGTCGGAGGGAAGTGAGTGGATGATGCAATCGGGGATGGGGATTGGAAATGCACCACGGCCGCGGTCGAGGCAGCGCAGCAGCAAAAGCAGTGGGAGGTGTGATTTTCTAGTTCCCCGCGGCAGAATTGCGGATTCTCGGGGTCCCGATTTATGGGCGGTCGGGGAGGTGTCACAGGCAGGGGACGCTCTACTAACATGAATCACAGTTGTGTTGCCGCGGCTAGGTTGTTGTTTGTCATTGTTTGATTCCATCATGGCATTTCTATAGTGTTGGCCACAGGAACAGGAAGAAAAGCGTCCAATTACGTACAGCCACAGGCGTTGGTTGATTTTCGCAGTGAGAACCTAATTGCGAGTTGCCGTGTGATCTGTCAGCAACCAATTCCTGGCGCTGGTGAGGTCATGAGGGCGAATTACTCGCATGGAAAGATCAAAGAACAGAGCAGAAGCCAGACGATAAGGATAAGATAAGAAACCCAGGTAAGGTTAGCGTCCTTATCACCGTCATCCCGGTCCAAGTGCCCGTGGTCTTTGCTCTGCTTCGTCCAGGGACTTTCAGGGACCTTTAAAGCTTTTAGGGACTGGGATTCAGGGACCTCTCGTCTGAGGCTGCTGGACCAAATGAAAGACACTCTGATAGATCTATCTCATCACGCACATATTACCCGCGTCTAGCGCCCGATCGCATCCTTGGGCATCCATCCATACACAGCCGTCTTGGTGAATTTGTCTGAATCCTGAATCATGAACCCTCTGGGCTGGTTGGGCTTTTCACGATGCAAGATCCCTGTCCGAAATCCGAGGTGGCAGGCCCCGAGGCTCAGCCGCTTCGGTTGTTCGCCTAATCCTGAGATGAGGTAAGGCAGCCGGTACTTGCTGCGTAAGGTGCCTGCCTTACCTTAAGATTACAGCAGGGCAGCTCCAGTATCAGGGGAGAGCTTGCTGCCAGCTTGTCCCCATTTGCCACCACCACCAGCTCGTGCCACCTGCCACCTTGCCTTTCCTTCCGCAACTCATCCGAAAATCTTTTGGAAATTCGTCCTCTGCCGCTTTAGACGACGCCATCGCGAACACACACCACTCGAAGCAAACAAACGACAACATCACCACCGCCGCTACCGTCCCTCCCTCCCTCCACACGCCTGCGCTACTCGTGTGCTCCGGGCATCTCCCCGCCGACCCATCGCCGCGCCGTTTAGGTACGTCCCAGGTTGCTCGCCCGAATCGCCTCACGCGTGTCCGCTCCAAAGACGCCGTTGCCATCGGCCCGGCCAATGATCACGGCTCCTCCCTCCGCATCCCCGTCATTCGCTGCACTTCCCGGTTTTCCAGAACCTCCTCCACACTGCTGCATTGGATTGGACACATCCAATACTTTGACACATTCACGCACCACCGTCTCTTTGGCTCCTGAGTCTGCCGTCATCCCATAGGGCCGCGCCGCCAGTTGCCAGCTCTTTCCTCTGCCCACCACCCTTCGGCCAGCTAGCCAACCAACCAACCCCTGCCCACCACTCATTGCCCGTCTCTGTCGTCGTCTCGTCGCTCATTTCTTTCTTCGTTGCTGCTCTGCACTGCGCTGCGCTGCTGCTCACGCTGCTCACCAAAGCTGACACCCCCTTCGCTGGGCTTCTTTTCCAGTCCTCTCCTCCAACAGCCTCACCTCACCACGCTCTCCTCCCGGATCCTTGACCCAGGCTGGTGATCGCCCACGCCAGTCCGCCGGTAGCAACACCCTCACGACCACCCTACCTTACCTTGACTACGGATACATACGCACGACTGCCTGTCTTACCCCACTGCTCGGCGTCCTGCATCGACTACCTACACTACCTTACCTGGCCCAAGATTGCCTGCGCTGCTTTGCCTGCTGCAGAACGGCCTGATCTGCCAACCCCGCGAGTCGGAAAATCCCAGACCCAGACGAGGCAATACCCCACGACACCACGATCATCCACCGTCGTCGTCCCGGAGAATCGCTGTCGCCGTCCGGTCCTCCTCTCCAGCCTCACTTCCCCCCCTCCACCCCTCCTCCACTTTCCTTCTTTTCCTAGACTGCGTCCTTAGCTTTAAGGACCGCCTACTCCCGCCAAGGTGGCTTCCAGTCAGCCTCTTCTGGCATCTTCTGGTGCCCTGTCCAACATCACAGCGTTGCTGCCCACCTCCCTCCAGCTCTATCTCGACAAATCCATCGCCAGCCTAGCCGCCCTCATCGCTGACTATTCCGACTTCCTCTCCGATAAAACCGGTGTCGACCCGAACCTCATCCTCTACAGCACCATTGGCTGCATCCTGCTTGCCGTGCCCTTCACCATGTCTAGATACGGCTGGTCCACGAATCGGGAGCAGATATCTCCCTACACCTCTACCATGAGCGGTGTCCCCGACGTCACCGACGAGGACTTTAGCTACATCACCACCGAGGACCTCCAGTCTTCCTCCCTCGGCAGCTCCGTCCCCACGAGATCATATGCCCACAACCCGAGAAGGACCAGCGCCCCCGTCCCCGAGGACGACGTGCTGCTCATCAAGAACAAGGGCGTCACCTACCCCACCCACTTCCCCGCCTACACCATTGGCGACGGCAAGCTTCGCGTTCGCGATGTGCGCGACCGTGTCAGCGTCTTGTTGGAGCTGTCGGAGCGCCGCGGGCGCAAGGTCAAGCTGCTTTACAAGGGCCGCCAGCTGAAGGATGCCGCGGCGCCGGTGCGGGACTACGGTGTCAAGAACAATAGCGAGGTCATGGTTGTGCTCCCCGACGGCGACCTCGAGCCCGAGAGCAGCGACGACTCGGACGAGGAGATGGTTGTGGTGGCTGGCGACGGTGGCAGCACTGTCGGCAGCGCCGCTGGCACCGACGACGGCAAGAAGCGCCGCAAGGGCAAAAAGGGCCGCAAGTCGAAGAAGGGCGGCCGAAGCAGCAACCACACCAGCCCACGCGATAGCGCATCAAATCTAGGTGTCCCGGGCACCGACGCTGGCAGGTCACCCACGCCCATCAGACAGGCCAATGGACCCCACGCCAAGCTGGATGCCATTGCGTCGCACTTTGAGACGGAGCTGCTCCCGCTCTGCGACAAGTTCATTGCGGCACCGCCGACGGACCCCAAGAAGCGCGAGGACGAGCACCGCAAGCTTTCCGAGACGACGATGCAGCACGTTCTGCTGAAGCTCGACGAGGTCGAGACGGAAGGCGACCAGGAGGCCAGGGCGAAGAGGAAAGCCCTGGTCCAGCACGTTCAGGATGTTTTGAAGCGTCTAGACTCTAGACTACGCTAAGATACGTTGATACGTTCACAAGATACCCGGCACTATACAGGCCCATGGTGTCTTGGACAAGATGGTACTACTAAGAAGAATTTGGGATTGATTGCGAGACGCATGGGAGGTTTTCTTCGGTTTTCTGCATCTTTCAGCGAGAATTGCATCTAGAGCCGCGTAGACAGGCGGTCAGCACGTTCAGGGAGGCTTGTGTTTGGTACGATACGAAGTTCGTCACCCGTTAGTTATCACGGTTACCTCAACCGGGTTGGCGAGGCGCACTACTGGCGCCGTAGTAGACAGCAATGGCAAAATGGCCCAAGGTTTTTCTGGGATCTTCACTCTAGCGATTGCGCACATGATGGTGATGTGGATTGGATGCGGCCCTGAATCTTGTATCGCAGGCGTGTCGTTCAAGCAGGGCTGCAGCGTGACGTGAACATCATGGGCAGTCAAGGGGGCATCCTGGTCTGGCGCTTGTGGACTTGACGTCGGCTTATTCAGCAACGGTCGTCGGTCGACGGTCGTTGGTATGGACTCCTCCAGGTTGTGTCGATCGGGGGGGAGTCAAGGCCAGGTCCAGTCCAGAACGGTGCCCCGCCTCCCAGTGTCGGGTCCGGGCATTCCACACCGAGGTGAGCCGCCCCTTCGCCGGTCGGTCGGGGCCTCGGTGTGCTTTTGGTAGGTCTCGTTGCCCTAACCTGCCTCAGGCGCGCATCCAACCCTCGCTTGCCGTCCAGCCCGCCTTGCCCAATGCGGCTAGGGCGGTTCCACTCGGTGCACTCACAGCAGGCGGCACGGGGGCTTTCTTTCTGCAATTTTGTGTGCGAGCAGTGACCTGTGTGTGCCAAATTTCTCCGCCCAGCTCCCGAATTCAAGATTGTCGCGACGACCTCTTCCCAAACTTACCATCCGACATCCTACTAACCCCAACGGCAGCACCCAGCCAGCGACAAATCTCTAACCGCCCAGAGGTTTGCAGTTCACCTTCGTCCCTTCCCTTCATTTTCAGCACAAAAGGAACAGGAACGATGTCCTCTTTCGAGCCGGTGGTGAGTCTCCTCCCGTCCATTGTGTTCCAGTCGACATTTCGAGGTTTCGCGAGGGGGATTTGGTGGTGGCCGATCTGAGGGTTCTCGAGATGTGATTTGTGTGGGCGGACGCCACAGCAAGAGGAGGGCACACGAATGCGCGACGGGATTGTCGCAGAAGAGGTGGACGGTCTTTGCTGTCGCTGTCGCCGCGGCCGCTGGACATCGACGTCGCTGCTTCAATCGAGAGAACCGTCCTGTCCCGCCGACACACGCACACGAACATGACACCCGGTTGCAGATCGCTAACTCGAACGCCAACAGGTCGTCGTTGACGGCAAGGGCCATCTCCTTGGTCGTCTCGCCTCTATCGTTGCCAAGCAGCTCCTCAACGGCCAGAAGGTCGTTGTCGTCCGCTGCGAGGCCCTCAACATCTCTGGCGAGTTCTTCCGTGCCAAGCGTATGTCGAATCCCATTCCCCGCGTCGCACTCAGTCAAAGATCATTAGAAGAAGGACAATACTAGTCCAGGCACGAGAAACCAAGACTGCAGTGGACGTCGGCTCACCGTCACGCAACATACTGATCAGATGCCTACAGTCAAGTACCACGCCTACCTCCGCAAGATGACCCGTTACAACCCGACTCGCGGTGGTAAGCCTCTACCCCTCCGATTGCAGACAACCCCCCGCTCGATCGCAGTCTGACCCCCCGTCTAGGTCCCTTCCACTTCCGCGCCCCGTCGAGAATCTTCTACAAGACCGTCCGCGGCATGATCCCCCACAAGACCGCCCGTGGTGCTGCCGCCATGGAGCGCCTCAAGGTCTTCGAGGGTGTCCCTCCCCCCTACGACAAGCAGAAGAAGATGGTTGTCCCCCAGGCCCTCCGCGTCCTCAGATTGCAGCCCGGCCGCAAGTTCTGCACCGTCGGTCGCCTCTCCCACGAGGTCGGCTGGAAGTACCAGGACGTCGTTGCCAGGTGGGTTTCTCTCCGACACCAATTCTCGATGGAGCGTTTGACTAACCCCGCCGCAGACTTGAGGAGCGCCGCAAGGCCAAGGGTGCCGCTTACTACGAGCGCAAGAAGGTCGCTCAGCGCCAGATCACCGACGCCAAGAAGAACGCCAAGGTCGACCAGAAGACGGCGCAGGCCCTCGAGGCCTTCGGCTACTAAACGTGGCCGCTTCGAAACTTCCCTCTCGGGTCTGACGACGAGCGTCTCAAGCTGCTGCTGCTGACGTGCTCCGGGAAGCTCGGGGGTTAATCCTCGTTCCCCCTTGCATCCTAGCACCCGGCGGCGGCCACGATACCACATTTGACGATCTACGGAGGGAGTTTTGCTCGCGCATTTCTGTCCTCTTCCTCGTGCTTCCTCATAGATGGCGTGGCGGTTCAAGGGAAATTCTTCATTTTGCTGATGGCACAATGGGCTGGTCATATTGGAGCGGCGGGGGAAAAACACACATCAACGCACTACTTCATTGGGGGGAGGGGAAAAAATTGACTTGTGGTGAGTCTCTGGGGTTTCCGAGGGACTCGCTATGGGGAAGACATTTGTTTCGTGTTCATCCCCAAGGCGGTCTCGTAACAGGAAACCCGTTCCCCCTACATTTTCTCTCGCAATAAGTCACAAGAGAAATCAATCAAGATGATTCATGTCCACAAAAGGTGTGCGGGTGTTCTGCGAATCAAAATGGGCAATGGGAATTGATTTTTATGGTACAAACAAGAACAACCTTTTCCACATTTGCCTTCCGCCCACGCATGTAAACCGTTTCTCTTCCTGTCCTTTGAGTAAGGTGTGTGGTGCGTGTGGGATCTTCACGTCCTTCCATGTGTATTTTCCCACGGAACAAGCTGTAGTCCAGATGAGGCGATTGAGGAATGGACGGGAAAGAGATCATGATCAAAAGAAAGAGAGTAGTATACCACGGAATTTGGGAGGAAACAACCTGGCGAGGCGTCTTGTGCTTGCATAGAAGTAATTGATCTGTTACAATCATTGTGAAAGAGCCAGGCGAGTGAATGATGGCCCATGAGCGGGCGATGACGTCCGCTTCGTGTTTACCGTGCCCCGCCGCCAACGACGAGACGTGTCGGCCATCGCGAGGAGACGCGTGTGATGGTGTGCCCTACCCGCGCCCTAAGACGGCGTCTGCTGGGATGCGTGCGCTTTGTCGGTAGATGGCGGTGGGATTGCGTACCTGGAGGGTGGGCTTGGAGTTTGGGGTGCTGCTGATGTGAAGCGACGACCGTCTTCAATGTCGTAGAATTCCAGGCTAGGCTAGAACATCGGGTCTACTGCGCTTGACCAGCTGCGAGATGATGGAGATTCATGTGAAAGTCTCCAGGAGGAATATGTCACTCGGCGCGTGTTGCTGGTTCACGGTGTGCACGCTGGAGAGGCAGGACCTACAGCGCGTAGGCTACATAGACGATTAGATGAGCAAATCTCTCAACGACGGGCGAATGGTTTAGTGGTATAATACTCGCTTAGCATGTGAGTGGTCCAGGGTTCGATTCCCTGTTCGTCCATTGTTTTTGCCTTTTGCGGCTTGATAATTGTTTACTTTTGATGATTCGATATTTGCCTTTGTGAGGCTTGCTTTTTGAATCTGGGTGATGTGTTTTCGGGCTTGCTGCAGGCTCTGATAGGTGTTTTCCTTTGAAGCAATTGGGGGACTGGGCGCCTGCCGTTTGGTCGCGAGCGGGTGCGTCTTTCAACGGAGGCAAGGTTCAAGGTGGGGCCGTGCCTGCGATTCCCATATCATCGACCCCGCGACGCTGCGCAAGAGGTGATGAGATGGCTTCGTCTACGCCACAGACACCAAGGAAAACCGGTGACGAAAATCGAGTTGAGGGAATTCATTTAAAAGACTCAAAGACTATGGCCACGGACTCCGGAAGGGGAGATGAGGGTACGCGTCAAGCTGGCGACGCAGCCCCTTCTCAAGAGCAAGAAGCAGGAGATGCTGCGGCTAAGAAGGACAAGTAAGTCTCACCTAGTCTTCCATTCGCACTTCTTCGTTTCCGGATACTCTGGAGAGTACGTGTCAGTTGCGGTAAACTGACGTCGCGCGAGCAGGGAGTTCGAGGAGGCTTCGGCCGTGGTAGCGCGGCACGTCAAGCTGCTGCGGGAGTACAACGAGATCAAGGACGTAGGACAGCAGTTGATGGGCCTAGTCGCTGAAAACCGCGGGGCGACTGTGGGGAGCTTGTATGAGACGGGGGAGTTTGGCGTTGGGCCGAAGGATTGATGGGTTGGTGATGGCCTTACGGGGGTGGACGGGATTTCGAGATGCGGTAATAGAGCAGCGATATGTCGATTGGACGATTTAAAATGCTATCAGTTGATTTTCATGCATTTTTAAAAGAGATTTTGGATGTAATGATCGCAGGATATTGTATTGTTGATGTTGAATGATTTTTTCATGATGTTTTATTTCCAATTTAAAGGTAGCACATGTTACTTTGACAACAATATCAGACCTTGCATAGACGCGTATGAAATCCCTCATGCCCCACTTGAAACAAAGAAAAACGTTGAAAAAAACAGAATTAGACCAACTCTGTGATGAATCTGCTGTACTCCTCGGCCCAGAGGTCGTCTCCCGACTCTTCAAGACAGCCACCGCCCTCCAGTTCCTCTCTGATCTGATACGACATGGATGAGGGGAGGAATTCCACACCAACCTCTTCCGAAAGTGCCTCATAAGCATCCGGCAGATTGGGAATCGGGTCCAATGTCGACAGTAATGTCTCTGAGGGTTCATCGAGCTCCTCAGTGAGCTCTTTTACCCTGCAACCAGTGTCATCCAATGCTAGCCAGGTCTCTGACGTGTCCACGTCTCTGGAGAGGCTCTCTTCCGCCAGTGCCTGCAAAACCTCTTCAGAAATTGACGCATGTCCTTCCGAGTTTGACCTCAGTCCGTCAGAAGATTGGCATTCTTCTGGGTTTGGCTCGAATTCGGCGAGAGGCTGGTCTTCTTTTGAGGTCAACACCCCAGTTGGGCCCCCTCCATCAGGTTCATCACCATAATACCGCCGCACGTAAGCAGGCGCATATGCTTTCTCAATGGGATGAGCAGGAATCAAACCCCTCTGACCTAGGAGATTCTCATCGGCTTCGGTCCATCCTGCATGAGACTTCAAAAGCCTCGCGATTGCATGGTGCCCTGTTCTTTCTGCCAAGGCAACAGACCTGACGAACTGTCGGCGACCGCAACCGCTCGTTTCGGCCCCGGAATTGAGTAGTAATTGGACGATATCCAGCCTGCCGTTTTCTGCCGCTGTTTCGATAGCCGTCCGGCCGTAAGAAGACTCAGCTCCCGGTGCATTAGGATCAGCCCCCAGCTCAAGTAGTCTCTGAACTATGCCAAAGAATCCTTGCCGCGCGGCCGCTTGGAGTGCAGTGGAACCATCAGTAAGACAAGATTCATTAACGTCTGCGCCGTGTTCGATGAAGTCCTGGATCAATCTGGCATCTCCATTCCATGCCGCTCTTTGTAACGGTGTCAAAGGATCCCAATAGGCTGCAACTTTGAGTTGCAGATCACTCAGATGCTCTGATTTCTCATTGATATTTACCCCAATGGAGAGAAGCCATTGAATGATCTCTCTATTGTAGCGATGAGAAATGTAATGGATAAGTACGTTTTCTGTCATCTTGATTCCGAGACTATGCAGAAGTTTGAGGTTATCGATGTCCATACGGTAATGGCAAATAACACCAAGAGAGCTTGTAGGTCCTGGTTGATAACCGTGATACAACAGCAGCTTCAAGTAGTCTGAACAGCCCAAAGAAACAGCAACTTCGATCATGGGTCGACGAGGACTTGGCTGTTGATCCCGGGCGTGAGTATGTAACGATCTTTTCCAACACAAGTAGCCGCGGATTAAAGTACCCTCTGAAGAAGACCGTTCTGATCTCTTCAAATCATTGTAGAAACAAGCCTTGTGGAATACGTCGAGATGCCAGGACGTTTCAGGTCGAAGGCCGGATCTGAGTATCTCTTCGGAGATTTCCATGCATCTCAAATGCACTGCAAGAGACATTGCTGTTCCCATCCAGGTATCTTGAGACGACAGCAGCTGTGACCTAAAGGTCAAGAGATGCCGTAGAGCTGTAAAGTCACCAGTTGCTATCGCTAAGAAGATGGAAGCACAGAGAGCTTGACCTGTGATCAATCGTTCGTCTGCTGCGACGATTTGATACACCAACTTAATGTTTCCCGAAAGTATCGCAGCCTCAAGGATTGTATCAATGCCAAAAATTGTGCATTCGTCTTGATAAGAGGCTCCTCGCTCACATAGACTTTCAATGATCTCAAATTGACCACTCCAAACGGCCATTACTAGCTCGCCGCCAATAAGTGTAGCCCCTGTATTTAAGAGACACAGCGCGGTTGCGGCATTGCCTCCAAGCAGTGCTGCATGAAGTGCTGTTCTACCGAGACTGCCAAGCGACTTCTTTGGCATTTGGTAATCTTCCAGAGCCTCATTGCTAAATTCCCAGTGTGAAAAGCGCATCGAGGAGACGTCTTCAACGCCAACGCGCAGCAATGTTGGGTATGGGTGGCAGTAGTTGACATCAGCGCCCCAATTTAATAAATGTTCAACGATACTGACATCTGCAAACGAGGCTGCCCATTGTAGGGGTGTAGGTGCTTTATGACTAGGTTCAAGAGTAGCACCTAGATATAACAGCTTATTGCACAGCTGTATGTCGCCTTCGTATGCAGCCGCCGTCATTGGAGTTTCTGGGTAGAAGCCGCACGAGTTGACATACTGACCGAGCTCGACTACCAAGTCATTGACGAAGCGGCTGTTGGTTCTAATTGCTGTGATGAGGAGCTGGGCTTTGGCGGCTGAGCTGCTGTTGATGAAGCTCGACCGGAAGAATTCGATCACTGCCTCGATCACTGGAGTGCGGGCCGTGTAACTCATTCCAAAGAGTAGTTGAGTGGCTTGTCTCTCGTCTTCCGGACGAAAACGATAAATCGACAGCAAAATCTTCATTGTTTCCTCCGATGAACCCTTGGCTGCTTTTCGCCGTACCCAAGCATTAGTCAGTGTTTTGATGTCGATCTTTTCAGTATCCGCCCCGTGATCAATGAGTATTTGGAGTAACTCAGGCTGATTCAAACCTGCGGCATGCTGCAGTGCAGTACCACGCGAACTTGGTGAATCAGAGAAAGAGGTATTGACATCAACACCTGCCTGAAGCAGAAGTTCAACAGCCTCTAGATCGGATCTTTTGATGGCTTCTCTGAACAGGCCATCTAGCGATGACTGGAGGCTCGGCGGTAGACTCGAGTATTGACCTCTTGCCATCACATTCGTTCCGCTTTCTCGCAACAAGCGTAGCAGCAAGTGCATAGCTGCGCTATATCGTTCTCGTTGGTCATTGTTGTGTGTGTAGCTAAAAAAGTCGTTTGACAGGAAAAATACCAGACAAACTAGAACTTCCGCATTGATAGTGTTGGATCTGCTTTTCTGTAACAGACCTTGGGCCCTGACAGCATGGGCGCCTTCATTCTCCTCGGGCATAATGGACCGAAGTGTTCTAAAGGTATTCTCTAGCAGGGTCGTATAGCTCTGTAGAGCGAACCTTGGAAACAAGATGGACTCCATTGCTCCTTCAGATGGAGACTCAGACGAATGATAGGAGATTATCGTGTTACTTGGCACTTTGAGTGCGAGACCTGCAGGAATATTTATTAGTACCTCTTGCAAATAAATGAGAGGGCGGTTTATAGATCATTACCCTCAATCTGTCGTCTAGAAAGAAGCCACGGGATGTTATCCAATCTGCATGGCCAAGTAGTCTGTTGAGGCGCTGGTGTACACACAAGGAGGGGCTGATCTTCCGGCACAGGCGGTTGACGCACATCTGTCCTAGGTAGTCAGCTTCATGTTATGACTGCGAAAGTGGATGTGCTTACAGTCCATAGCCTTCTCCATGGCAGTCTCGTAGCAATATCTTGAAACCCCCCTCTCGATGGCCTTCATGCGCAAAGGTATACCTGAGAGGTAGACCTTGCTTTCTTTGCCTCTACACTTTCGCCGATGGATCTCGTTGCCAACATACTTCCAATCCATGGCGCCCATGTTCTTGGTGAGATGCCACTGTTTCAACTTCCACTCCAACTGTGATTTGCTACCACGATGCATTAGACACATCAATGACTTTGCGGCAGATGTATATGTTGTCAAAGAGGAGCTCATGCTCACCTTGGATAAAAGCTGTGGAAGGTACCCAGAATGAGGAGAACATCTTTCAGACTCCGATCCTCTTCAAGATAAAGCTTTCGGATGATCGGCCTGAGACGTTCCCAATCCTCGTCGCGGATGCTTCTTCGAGGCGGCATGGTGAAAGCCGAGAATGGGTGCCCCCGTGATGTGTATTCGGTACTTGTAGTCTTCAGGACGAAGAGGATTTCCCATCCTCCGGAACAAGTCGAGAGCTCATGATTGTGGCCCCAGCCTGATTTTATATTCTTCCCAGAGGCATCTGCTGGCAAGCTAAAGAAGCGACATGATTGGGCGCAACCAGAATCCGACATGGACATGTACGTACTGACGGTGGGTGTCTAATGACTGATCATCAGGTTCGCCGTATTGGCTGCCGCCAAACTCCGAGTGAGGTCTGTATGCATGTAAGCATGCTGTAGCGAATGGGGCCCCTTGCTGTGAGCAGTGTGGCTGGGGTAGACAATACATCTCAATTGCAAGCTGGGCAAAGCGAACGCCTTTCATTGACTGAACAAAATCAGGGCGAGCGAACCGGGACCCTTCTGTCAGAGACTTGACCTGTGTGGCAGGTTTTGATTGGGTTATCAATCGATGCATCTTGGCGTCGATTCGGTTGGTCATTGACGACCCTCGGCAAGCCGCAGCCCGCTATCCATTCTCACGATGCCACATCCAGTTTGGTTCTAAGGATGGAAATCGACAAGCGTATGAAGTGCCTACGTCTTCATGTAAGGTGCGTCGACCCAATGCCTGTCCACAGCAAGACACCAGGTACTCAACAGGCGACTGTGTTGCCATCGAGTGATTTATACACCAGTACTCATTAAGCAACTCGTCCGGAGGATGAAAGGCAGAACCGACCCCGAAATGAACTCATGAAGTGTGCGAGTATCGAGATCTAGCCGTGAAGCCGAAGCTTATCAACAAATAAGCCATGTACGCATCTGCCCACAATTCATCCCCCAACTCGACTGTTTCAAGAAATCTTCCTGCTGGCAGTAGCTCCTTGCTTAACAGTATGACCTCGAGAGAAAACCTTGAACCGTGGTATGATCACAAATCTTTGACGGCCCCCTGATACTAGTTGGCATCCACTACTTGCATTGCTCACGTTCACAGCCCGCTATGGAATCGCTAGAGAACCCCAAAGCTTGAACCACACAAATAAAACTATGGAGGCATTGGGGTGGGTATGTACTTATGGCGCAGTGATGAGGCGAAGTGTTTGAGGCTCCCTGACGCCGGAGCGTTATGAGTGAAGAAGCGAGACCTGCTCCAAGAACGATAGATGTGGATGAGTTTCATCCACCGAACCGATTCCGTGACTGGGCCGAAACTGTTATTCGGGCCGGTGTGGGGCCGTCCTCCGGCCGTGGGCTGAGCCGGCGCGGGATTCTTAGGTGGCAAAGGAGCACCGCGGAAGTATGCCTGAAGAGCATTGTGGTCATATGAAGTTTCAATTGATATGTACGTCTATTATAAGTTATACACGCCTTGGAAGAGGCTGCTGACTGCGAAGCCTCGCTTTATGTAGAGAGCCAGTCAACCAAAACGTCGTGGAACTCCTCAGGATGCGAGATCTGGGGCGCATGTCCAAGCTCAGGGAAAGTGTGCAGGGTAGAGTTGGGGATCTGAGCAGCAACCTGAGGGCCGAGGACGTCAAAGTGGCCAAGCTTGGCAGCGACATCAGGAGGAGACCACTGCTTGCCGATGGCGGTGTTGTCCTTCTCGCCGATGATGAGCAGGGTGCGCGGCTTGACGAGGGAGAACTCCCAGCTGACCGGCTGCGTCAAGACGAGGTCGACGATCTGCGCCTGGTTGAGAGCGTAGGTCTTGGCCTCGGATCCCTTGTAGATGTTGACGAGCATCCTGACCCAGACGTCGTACTCGTCCTTCCACTCGCCGACGTAGTAGGTGGCCTGCTCGTATCCCTTGATGGACTCGTAGGAGCTGGCGGCCTCCGTGGCGTAGTTGTCGTCGATAGGAACGTAGGGGACGCCGAGAGCCTTGTAGTCCTCGAGACCAACGGGGTTGACGAGGACCATCTCGTTGACTTGGTCGGGGTACATCAGTCCGTAACGGGTGGTGAGCATAGCGCCCATGGAGTGACCGATGACGGTGACGTTTTCGATGCCGAGTGTCTCGAGCAGACCATGGGTGTTGGTCGCGAACTGCTGAAGGGAGAACTGGTAGCGCTCAGGTTTGGAGGACTTGCAGAAGCCGATCTGGTCCGGTGCGATGACGCGGTAGCCCTTCTGGGCGAGGACGCGGATGGTGGTCTCCCATGTCGGGCCGCAGAAGTTCTTGCCGTGGAAGAGGATGGCGGTCTTGCCGTTGGGCTCGCACTTGGGCTCGATGTCCATGAAGGCCATCTCGAGCTCCTGGAGCTGAGAGGTGAACTTGTAGAGCTTCACGGGCCAGGGGTAGGTGAAGTTGGAGCCATTGAGGTCTTCGGGGAAGGACTCTGAGTTGGAGTCGATGGTGCCCTGGGCCGAGACGAGGGCGGCGCCCGCGGCGGCGACGGTAGCGAGGAGGGAGAAGAACTTCATTGTGACGACCCTAGGCAATGGTCAGCTCTGGATGATAAAAGTATGGCTAACCGGCATCATCTATCCTGGCAGCAGCTCCTAGAATGCAGAGGCAAGAGAGCTATTGACTGGTTCACGATGCGACAACGGTACAACACAGGTCCCGGGGCCGATTGGCAGCTCGGAGCCGCGAATTGAGACAAGTGGAATCTTCCTTACCTAGATGCGATGGCAGCTCAACTTAAACCTGTCCCAAGGAACCCCGACCGTTGACGTGAGCGGCTGGTGCGTGCGAGAGAGCGATCATCTAATAGACTTCGGCCCAAGACGGGCGAGTCTGTTTATATTGCCTCTCCATCTGAGCGGCACGGCTGGGTCACCAGGGACCAACAGACACACACGTGTGTTGGTACCAACGTGGTGGTGTGCATGCTGTACGAGGGAGGGGGCCCATGGACATGGAGAGGGATGGACGCAGGTGTCATGACGCCGTGCCCGTTCGCTGCAGCAAAACAAGAACAAGAATGCTTCGATAGCTTCCACTCCAGTGGCTCAGTATCGCACTAATTTCCGCTTTTCAGTGGGCCGGACGGCTCTCGGATCCGCTGGCGAGAGACCCTGGACGGTGGGTTGGCGCCATTCCTCGATGCGCGGCCGCTGTTGAGGATCACGGGCCGGAGTTGTTCGGTATGTTGGGTGAGATGGCGCCGGGGCTATGGTTTGAGGTGAGACACATGGGACTTCGGGTCTCTCGTTAGGTGCCGAGGGAATGATGACGGCGACAATGACACATTGTTTGAGGGGAACTCGATAGAGACTCTTCTCATCAGTGGCGAGGTGCGCGAGGTCACATTGCTCGACGCCAGTGGTTATCGATGTTCATTCCTACGACCCTGGTCCTGTGCTAGTCTGGGGAAGCATGCTGAGATCATATCGGATGGGCGCACGAACGGTTGGTCTTGCGCCGGGAATAACCACATCACAGGAATGCTGCTGGTCCAGATCGAAATGTTACTCAAGAACCAGATATGACACCGGGCACGGACAGCGAGACACTCAATGGACCAAGATGCAAGGATTTCACAGCGTGATGGTAAGATGTGGACTTTAAGGGACTTTGGTAATGCTGAGAGGGGCTCTGGCCCATACAATGCGCTGACTGTTTTTCATCTCATCGACCCAGCCTGTCGGCTGCAATGAGATGTGGATGCTCTTGCAGACTTATGCAGCATATATGAAGGTTCGCGGAGAAACATGTCTACTGTGCGTTTTATCAAGCTTGGAGCAGCCGAAGACTCTGAACACATCTCCATCTCTCCCCCACGAATATGTGAAAGCTGTAAGTGCTGCTGGACCTTGACCGTACGCGACACACCTAAGAACATCCCGGCTAATATCAAAATTTTCTCCTCGTATTCCTTCGCGAACTTTTGGAGCGAGCCCACTGCAGTCTGGTCATATCTTCAGGTAAACAACAGAGATCAATTTCCTATGCGACTGCAGAAACTCATCTGGAGCAGTCGGCAGACGACCAGGATGCCCGCAGCGTTAGCGCATCGTCCCGTTGACCCGCGGTCGGCCGCCAATGATGGGATGGGCCGTTCTCTCAGAAGGGTGTCTTTGTCCGAATGTTCCCTGTCAAGCCCACCAGGAACAGCGTGTTGGGGGTTGCACCGGCAGGCTTGGGTGTCATTAAAGCCACAATTAGGGCCAGCAGATCGGGGGGATGAAGACACAAGCCAGTGATCTTGAACCGAAGTTCTTCACACCTTCGTCACCTGCATCGCCGGTGGCCCGATGGGGAAGGACAGACGAGGAGGATTCGCAGCCCTGAATTCTGCAGCACCGAGAGAACAGCAGACGAGAAATGAAGACAAAAGGACATGTCATGCCAAGAGAGAAAAACCCTTGAAGGCTCCCTCATGCGGGCCGCGCAAACCACACCACATGTTGGTGAACATCGCTTCCGAGAGAGGAAGCCCAAGTCCGAGCAAGGTCACTGACCGAGGTGTTATTGAAGTTCACCATGAACACATCAAGGTGGCCAAGCGGTTGGTCGCTCATCGCCAATAGACGTAATAGATGCGAAGAGCCTGCTCCCAGAGGTAGGTGGTATTGATTGACCTATACTGCTTTCATGCACACCTATATTCCATCGCAATTCCTCCGAAGTGGCTGCGACTATTGTCGAGCTATTCCTCGGGTGTGAGATCTCAATCGGCTTCTTCGGCTGCAACGACAATGAACGGGCTGGCTACCCGCCGGACAGACTTCGCGGGAGCGGGAATGCGCACCGGACGTTGGCGCCACCAGCCATCCGCCGCCCACAACACACTAATCGGATGCGATATTAGGGCTCTAGTATTCAGCTATTAATGATCTCAGGGCGCACAGACTGGTGGTCTTCGGGCGATGCGGATACGGCGGGAACTTTAAACGAACTATGCTTGATGGTACCCTGCCGTCGTCAAGTTCATCCAAGATGAACTACATGCCTCGTAGAGAAGACAATGGCGCACAATGTTCGAAGATGTCGTCCTCAGCTGTCGATGTGTTCGAGCAGCTTACTGAGATCTGACATGTGCGAC